TTACACAAGAAACTACAAATCATCCGAATGGCACAGTTTTTGATTATATGAAATTAGACGAAATATTTGAGTTAATGAGTAAATCATAGGTTAGAATGGAAAATTTTTTAAATATCTCGGTCTTAGAAAAAAAAAAAATTACAAGCGGTTTTGAGGTGCTAATTTTTCACCTAATGCCGATGTAACATTTCTTGGTGTTTGTTTTAGGGTTGTCCTTCTGTAATGTTTTGTCACGGACGGTCTCAAAGGCGTGTTCAAAAAGTACAGCAAGTAAACCACCCATTATAACTTGTAGTCTTCTATTATAACACTACTCAGTTTCCGTCTGTCCTGAAAATGCACGCGCTCCTGATTATATAAATGCGCATGAGCGCACTCGTCATTTCAACGGATGTAAAAAAAAGAAAAAAAGTCGGATGTAAATATACTTTCGTAGACAACAACATATTAAAAACTTATCAAAGTTTATATATTAAGTACGGTAAAGTTTAGCCCTAGCTAAACTAAAGCAAAATGTACGCAAGTTACAGTGTTAATTTATCTCTTTATCGAATATAGGCTGAACTTAATAAAGGCTTAACTAATGTTAGGCCTAATACCTATAGATTTCGGTATCTGCGATTAGAATTATTTTGTCTTATTCTAGAAATCCTGTATTTAAAGAAGTATTGTTGTAATAAAGATACTAATATGACCGCAAATGTTTTGAGGATCTCTGCTAGTATTTATGGAAATAGGTTATTCAGTTACGTGCTGTTACGACAGCGGAGGTCACGTGACGCTAGTAACACGTCACGCGGTTCTAGAACGTCCACGAAGCGTCGGGAGGTTACTAGATTTCGGTATTGTTGTACATATAAGACGGTCAAGACGTGACGGCAACAATGTGTGTAATTGAACTGCGGACCGAAAGAGACGTATTGTTGAGCACGTGAGACGTTCGTTATGAATTATAGCGTTTGTTATAGCGCGACTGTGGAAATTAAGTGTATCGCAAAGTTGCATTCAGAAAGAATAAACCAGTTTTATTTAAGACAGGACTTGTATCGGTAAAGTTTCTTCGGAAAGAATTTTTACGGAAAATAACTAACGAACGGAGGCGTAACAGTACGTATCAGTTATTCAGTAAGCTGGAGTTGTTGAAGGCAATACCAGGAAGTTTTGTTGAATAAAAGGAAAGAAAACAATGAAAATAAATAAAAATAACGAAACTAAAACACTATAGAGTGTTGTTGTTGTTTGTAGTTAAGCACAAAGCTACACAAAGGGCTATCTGTGCTCTGTCCACCACGGGTATCGAAACCCGGTTTCTAGCGTTGTAAGTCCGCAGACATACCGCTGTTCCACTGGGGGAGCAGAGTGTAGAAAACGGCATGAAACAACACGTGGTTGTTTTGTTTAAAATGCAAAGCTGTAAAATGGGATATCTGAGCATATATCGAACCCCGAATTTTTACCGTTATGAACGCTTAAGATGAACAGTCAAAACCTTCCCAATTTCTTGGTTTCGTCTAGCATTCTTTAAAATAGTCGGAGTTTAAAAACAAAAATAGTATTGTTTGTTTCAGAATTTTGCTCAAAGTTACGTAAGAGCTATCTGCGCATAGCTGTTCCTAATTTTGAACTGATAGACTAGAGGAAAGACAGTTAAGTCAACGACAATCACCACTAAGTTTCGAGCTACTCTTGTCCGATCGAATAACGAGATTTGACTCTTACTCTTATAATACAGCGGCTACATCAAAGTATTAAGCGCGTTTTTGAGGAAATGAGTTGTGAACTATGAATCCTCAGACTCACAGCTGGACCCCTAAAAATAGAAATTTAGCAAAGAAAATAAAAACTTATAGAGACGCTTTAAGGTGTTTGTAAGAAGAAAAGGGTCAAACAGAAAGGAAATTAATACAATAGGAAAGCGGAAAAGGAATGTTGAATACAAAAATGAAAATACAGCAACAACAACCCTAGGAAAGCTTAGGTGTATTGTTTGTTTGTTTGTTTG